AGAGGGGGGGGGGCGAAGCCCCCTATTTAGGCGAATAATTAATGAAGCGCTGAGACGATCATCTTCATAAACTAATCAGTTCCAAGTTGCATAATGTCCCAAATTTTAGCGACACACACATACACACACACACACACGTTTTCAAAAACATCATACAATGATTCAACGAGTCATGAGACGTGGAGATATCATAAAATTTCCAATTCTGATTTTCGGGGTGATTACAACTTCCTCCCTTCGGGCCGCGAAGTTAAAAAACAATACGATAACAACAAAGCGGCATGTTTCTTCAACGAAAAATTCACGCCAGCATTATTGATCGCTTTTTTTTGACGAGTCGGAGCGAGGGTGCGCAGACGACACATCGATGGGGGAGGGTGGCACACTCAGTCTCTCTCGTGGTTTCGACGCCCCTGCAACGCCGGACGCCGGTTTGTTGACCACTAACACCATGTCTGGGGGTAAGAAAATCACTGAAACAATATTTTCATTATTTATTTGTTGATTCACATTCTAAAACAATATTAGTCCAATCTCTTGTTATTTTCTCCTAATTTGTATGATTTTCATTCTTCTGAATAAACGAATAGAAGCGACAAAAAATCTCCTGTTATTTTGTTCTCATTTGCGTCGTTCACTAATCATATTTGCCTATTAAAATTTAATAATTGAATTTAAAAATAATATAATCAAAATAATTGAATTGCAATTAATAGAATTTTAAATGCTTTCTCAGCTGAATTTACCATTTTTTTTAATTGAAGGGTGAAAATTAAATTTTTTGTTTTCTTTTCCAATGAAATTCGGAACTAAAAAATATTTTTTCGATTCTCTTTTCATCTTTCTTTTAGCAAGACAGGGACTATATCGGTTTTGCAACACTTCCGGAACAAGTACACAGGAAATCAGTGAAGAGAGGATTCGAGTTTACATTGATGGTGCTGGGTGAATCTGGACTGGGAAAGTCGACGTTGATAAACAGTTTGTTTCTCGGGGATCTGTACAAGGACAGAAAAATACCAGATGCTGGAGGTGAATTGCTTCGCCAACAAACATTTCAGATTTCTTTTGAGTAGGCAAAGTGTGTAGTGTACTGCCTGAAAAATAAAAAAAAAGATTTTTAGGGTCCGAAAATTTTTACCACCAACTTTTTTTTTATTTATGCAGTGACGGCTTCGAGGACCGAAGCAAATTGCAAAATGTTTCTATATAAAATGTTTGGATAGAAGGAGTCCTATAGAACAATAAAAAGTCTACGGATTTTTTTTATAAATACTTATCAGGCCATAAATCATATGTCATCATAAAACTCCTCTTTGGACCGCTTGTATTAATTCCTCTAATTCTCCTTTCTATGGCCATTATGCGGTCAAATTTTTAACTCTTCTCAAAAAACAAATTCTCAATTACTCTCCACTATGCCAACGTTTCAAGTGCTAAATTAAACACTCGAAACTAAATTAACACTTTTCGAGGTTAAAATAACAGTATTTTTATCTTGATTTGTAATAATGTGAGATGTATTGATTTTCTTGTAAAGAAGAGTTTTGTTTGTTTAGATAAAAATAAATAATGCCCTGATGAGGAGTGCATTTAGCACTCGAAACGGTGGCATAGTGGAGAGTAATTGAGAATTTGTTTTTTGAGGAGAGTTAAAAATTTGACCGCATAATGGCCCAAGCAAGGAGAATTAGAGGCATAAATCATATGATTCTCTCTTTGAAGCCATTCTTGCTATTTTCAAGGATTCCTTGATTGCACTTTTACTATACACTGAGAGAAAAAAAACATGTTCTCAAACAAACCTTGTTTGAACAACAAAATCTCAAGATAAAAATTAAGAGGATGGAAATTCTTTCATTTGAAAATTTCAAACATGAATAATCAGTCTGCTTTCAAGAACGAAATATTTGACTGCAGTGATGAATCAGTCACACGAGTCGGCATCTGCTCAAAACGAAAATATCTCTAATGAAGTGAAATTAATCAAGGAATATTCTGTTTCTAAGGTACCAGGATTGCTAAAATATTATCGGTATTATTTGATTCCAAAATTTATTCCTTATCTTTGAGTATTCGAGAGCCGAAACGAATAACTTTCCTCCCGTGCTTCGAATAGATCGAACATTATCTGAGAACAAAATACGTACGGTAATAATATAGAATAACGAATGTATAGTGTTAGAAATGAGATTTCTTGCTCGCACATGAAATAACAATTCGTCGGAACAACTGAATCTATTTGTACAATACAAATTGTTCATATAGAACACTCTTCAAACGTGTATCACGAGATTTTTTATTCTTGGTAATATTCAACTTGCGATTTTTATGGTTCAAATAACACTTGTTTGAGAATATTTTCGTTTTTCTGTCCGTGTAGAAAAAATGTGATTCGCCAAGTGAACAATAGTGGAAGAATTGAAGCATCCGGTTATCTTTTCTGCTGGGAAATCATGTGCAAACGTACTGCGATTGTTTTTGACCCAAATGATAGGACAAGTATCATCTCAATGCACTAATTTTTCCTCACATTTTACGGGGCAAATCATTATTGAGAGTTACATCGGCAGGTACGAAAAAACTCAGCAGCCCATGCAGGGCAATACAAAGTGGCCGAACATCGGGCCAAACTCAGCGTCGAGTTCCCCGATAATCGGTTGCGATCTTCGGCCGATGTTCGGCCGAACGTTGGAACGTTACCTCGGGCCATCATAGACACCGATGTACAGCCAATATTGGCGTCGATTATCAGCCAACCATTGGTGACACAAAATGTTAAAATCGTTCATACATATTAGTTCCAATAGTTTATAAGCGTGTTATAATCCTTTTTATCCATTCCAGTAAACCAAAAAAGAAAAAAATGGAATTAAAAAAAATAAAAAATTGCCCCCGGTGGGATGCGATTGCGGATCCTTCTGATAATCTGTAGTCAAGCGCGCTGTTTTTTTTTTGTTTAACCAGGTTTTTATTCAGAAACACAACATTATTTACAGTATATACATTTATAAAAACTAGTATCTGAAAAGTATTTGTAAAGTATCATTTTCAAATAAACTTTGGTCTCTTTTGCGACTCTCGAGTTTAAGTAATATCGTAACTTTCAGATGATTACATAACAGAGTATGATTGTGTTTATTTCCGCCAGTTCCCCAGCTTTCATTATTAATTATTATGCCCAAAAAAAAAATATTTAAAGAATTATTCTAGTGTGGAAAAAAGCCACGTCGCTATTTGAAAAAGATAATATTATTGTAATGAATTACAATACATATGATTTAATAACATCAGAGTATTATTTCAAATTTTTGGTACAATAATTATTAATCTAATTAGTTGATATTTTAGTTTGGACTATGGTAGACTGGTTTTTTCCTCAGCATTTAATTTTTTTTATGTATTCAGATTGAAATAATTTATAATTGATGAAATATTTTTTGTATTTGTATCTACTAGTCAAGGGCGCTGTCCACTGAGCCATCTGAAATTTCTTATGAAGACAGATCTTTTTCGGGGATATAAATACCACATGGTGTGTTTGTTTGAATCCGCGAATGTGATTATCAATAATTATTTAATGAAAGTGTAACTCGGATGAGAAGAATTAATTAATTAATTTACAATTATTTCTTATTATTCCGAAAATATTTAGGCTCTCATTTGGGGTATCGATATCTATATACTGTATATTAGGAAAGAGGATGAATGCATACTATCCATCCATTTATTCGAAAAATAGCCTACAAATATTAAGTCGGTTCCGATCATCGGCCGTAGAGCGGCCTTTCATCGGGGACCCGATGTTCGGCGAGCAGATATTGGGCCGATTTTTGGCCTTTCATCGCGCCCCGATATTCGGCAACCGGATATTGGACCGATGTTTAGCCGTATTGTATATATCAGCAAATCCTGCATGGGAGAGGAAATCAGTGCTTTCATTAGGACCTTCTTTCAAATTTTTATTGGAATTGTATTAGAATTTGGATTTGGTTTTATTTTTGCCGTTTTATCTTCAGAATTTGGCTTTTTATACGGAATTTGTCTTTTCGTATGATTTTTTACATAGTTTTCATGGAAAAAAGCATACACCTAGAAGGAGAGAAATGCTCAGTAACAATTACGGAGCTCACAATTCGCTCACCGATTACAGAATCGACTTCGAAAATTCAAGTGATATCGTAATTTTTCACAGGAGATTCAGATAAATATTACGAAATGCTCTGGAAAAATTCCGTGACAGTTCCCTAAAATTTCCTGCAACCACATTTCGCTCCCGAATTGCGCAAAAGATACGTAATTTTTATTGAATATTTCTCTCCGTGTACATCGATTTAGGTGCATTATTGCCCAGAGACTTTTTCCATAGAAATTGATGAGCATAAATTTCCTAATTGTAAGTTTTCAAACTGTATTTTTTCGTTTTGAATTACAAAATTCGATAAAAAAACTTGGAAAATTTATGACTAAAATTTTTCATGTCAAATCAGTCAATCTGTGACCCTCATTCTCCTGAAAATGAACGGGGATTTTTAACAGGGTAAAGGAGCGCAAGCAGATGTCTCCTGACTTTTTAAAATATTTTTTAATAAGCCGTAGGTATGAGTTTTTCAGTTTTTTCCAGTTTTTTTCACATGATTTGGGTTCTTTTTAATCGATTTCAATTTGTCAAGCATCAAAATCTTTTATTTTCTGTAGCACTGCTAAGAACTTACTGGAATAGTTTTTACTCTCTAGATTCCCCCAGTGATGAATTCACAAAAAACGTTGGAAAACATAATTTCGTTATCGACGTCTCGTTCGGTTTTCATTATTTGTTTTATCCGTTTCTCCCGAAGACCAAAAAGTAATGTATGAATTTTTGAAGGTGAAATTTTCCTGCTGGGGCGTTACTTGGACAGTTAAATGAAACCATCAAATAAACTGTTTACCACAATTTTGCTATCTCTCTTAAATTCGAATATGATTATCAAACACTCACCTTGAAGTTGAATTGGCTTTCCTTGATTCACTACTCCGTAACTAAATTATGTACAATTCTTCTTAATCATTGATGGTTCTTGCAGAGAGAGTAGAGAAGACGACAACGATCGAGAAAAAGACAATGGATATAGAGGAGAGGGGAGTGCGATTACGTTTGACAATTGTGGACACTCCAGGTAAGTTTTTTCTCCTTCGTCTTCATAGTACAATTCCGCCGTATTGAAATGTTGAATAATGAACAGGCGATAAGTTCTGAGTAATTTTAAAGATCACGTTGGAAATGGCACGGAAAATAGGAGGTTCAGACGATAACATCGAAAAACTTCTACAAGAAGTCTTTTTTAGATGTTCTCGAAAGAGAATCGGTTTTGTCTACAAAAACGATTTTGTTAAGTTCGGTTCTGTTAAGTAATTTTTTTTTTTAATACGGTGGGAAAACCCGCACAATATAACACAATTTGATGGTTGGTAATTGAATTTCTGTCTTCATACATTGAATGACAATCAAGCAAGATTAAAAATGAGGCCAATTAAAGTCAATTTACTCATGTTTTAAGGTCGTTACCATAGAATCTTTTTTTTTCAATCAGCAATTACTCGAAATGGTTATTTTTGTATCTAAAATTTTTGGGGTAAATTGGGAGCACGATTGTCGATATCTCCATCAAAGGGCAATGAGTTCTTTGTAGAAATTATCGTAAGAAAGTGGTGTCAACATTGACTCAATTGAATCAATTAAATTAACGATGTTCAGTTGACACAGCTTGTTTCACTCTTTCGCCACGCACTTGAGTTATGAAATTTGTTATGATATTCAATGGTTTAAATTCTTCAAGTTCATGCCCTAAAAATAGTAATTTCGATATGAGTGCTATTTTTCTGGATATTATCTATTTTTTGAAATGAAAAATAACCATTTTTCGAACGGTAAATTTGTATAGAAAAGCGAAGCTGCCTCAAAAATGTGCTACAAAAACGAAATTTGTGCCCACGTGTTGTAATGTACTCTGAATTACCGTTTACACCGCTTTCTTGCGGAAATTTTCATTCATCCTATCCTCATTTTGCCCCCATCAACTCATCCCATCTATGGATTACAAAATTTTTAAAAGTGAAAAAAGAATAGTATATTGTGTTACTAATGCGTAGAGTTCCACTTTTTCGTCCGCATGTGTAACACATCCTATTTTTTGTGCACCTACCAAGTTCATTGCTCGCAATGGTAGTGGGGGTAAAGTGGTCATTTTGATGGAAGAGTGCGTAAAGTTCACGAGAGTGCGTAAAGTGAATTTTGGGGAATTGTAGATTGAAAAAAAATGATTTGACGATAACGACCTGAAAACGCAAGTAAATCATCTTTAATTGGTCGTATGTTGAAATTCTTTCGAATGTCTCATAATGTGTGAAGACAGGAATTCAATTCCCAACCATAAAATCAAGTTATCTTGTCTTAAAATTTTCTAAAATTCATAACTCAGTGATAAGAAAATTCAATCAATGTGAAAATTTAGGAATAGGTCATCTTATATACTTCTTTACGCCACAAAATCGCCGTGTGAATAGTAACTCCCTTTTACGATTTTAGTTTTGACGTGAAATTGCTCCAGTCTGCTTAAAAATGTTATAGAATTCCGTTGAATATAAATGAAATAGATTATGCTACTCAATTATAAAAAGACTGATGATAAAAAAACGAGTCCTACTTTTGATTTGTTTTTTTGTGCTCAAAACACATGCAAGACTAAATAATATAGTGGAAATATTTCTGTAAAATATTGAACGGTGAATTTTATTTGGATTATTTTCCATCGACAATTATTCATATAATCATTTCTTTTCATTATGTTTTTAATTTGTTGTATTGCTGTATTCGATCAATCGATTCCTCATAAAATATCATGTCTCAATAAATATGATTTTTCATAATATTTCATAATGATGAAGATGAAATGGATGTGGAATGAAACGGCCTAGAATGAAGAGGGTCGGGGATCAACTGTCCTGCTACCCCGTAAACCTCCAAGTTTCAAAAATATATGCGAAAAATTCTTTCAATCAGTTTCTGCAATGGCATTTTCAATCATATTTTCAAGGTTTTGGTGATCCTGTAAACTGCGAAGATACATGGAAAGCATGTTCTGCATACATTGATGAGCAGTTTAGACAATACTTTACAGACGAAAGTGGCTTGAATCGAAAAAACATCCAAGACAACAGAGTTCACTGTTGCCTCTATTTCATCCCTCCATATGGCCATGGGTAATTTATTACATTTATTAATTCATATCAGTTGACTCATGAAAAAAGTTATAATCATTTTCTACATAGCTTTAATGCAACTATTTAATTCATTCAGTGGAATACGTAAAAATGTTTTATAAAATTCTCTATAAAAAAGTCTACTATTGTGTAATAGTATATTTCGATACGATTGCGGGAAAGTGTTTTTGGGCTCGTGGGAGGTTTATAGCACGAGCCGAAGGCGAGTGATATAATTCCACGAGTCTAAAAACACTTCCGCCAGTATCGAACCCTCTTTTTCATCACAACGTGTGGGAACTGGGGTTTGTCACTTTACACACCGCGTGATGAAAAAGTATATTGTGTTACTAGTGCGTAAAGTTCAACTTTTTCACATGCACGTGTAACACATCCTATTTTTTGGGGTATCTGTCGAGTTCACTGTTCAGAACGTTAGTGGGTGTAATGTGGTTGTTTTTGTACACGACTGCGTAAAGTTCGAAAACGTGCGTAATGTGAATTTCGAGTACGTAAAGCGAAGCTTTCGAGTGCGCACGAAAATTCACTTTACGCACGCTTGTGAACTTTAAGTACGCTGTGCGGAAAACAACCGCTTTACGCACACTAAACCGTTTCGAAAAGTGCACTTTTGAGGCAGGTATTACAAAAACCCCTATAAACCACACCCTTCCAAAGATATTTTTTTTGTTTTTTTTTTATATTCCGGCCCTTTCTGCCCTTTGATTGGCTAATCGGCCCTATCCAACCCTATGCATGCGACTGTGGATTCTACACTGCACCGCATTCGCACTCCTATAGAACATAGGAGTAGCATGGGAAACCACAGAAAACCCATGCCGGTACAGGCGGTCACTATATTAACGACCTCCCGCTCGCCGGAGCCTCCGGTTGAAAAACTCGGTTCCACGGGGAATCGAACTCACAACCTTTCGCACACTAGGCTCGCACCTAGCCGCTTCGGCCACCGACGTCGATAATTCCAAAGATATTTCTGCAATAATATTCCAGTTTTTCTCGAGACTATCCATTTTTATTCCTCCCTTACCGAATTATAAATTCCTGAATCATCTCGATCGTTAAAAATTTCATGAATAACTGCCAGGAGAGCGTTTTCATTGACAGATAAACGTTTTACAATTATGTTTATAAGTATGATATGAAATATGAATTTGTAAATGTTGGAGATATTTATTCTATTCCTAGATTGCGCCAGTTGGACTTAGAAGTATTGAGACGTCTCCACAGAAAAGTTAATGTCGTTCCAGTAATTGCAAAGGCTGATACACTCACTACAAATGAAGTGAAAAAATTAAAAGAACGAATTCTGGCAGATATTGAGGAACACGAGATTCAGGTGAGGAAGAACTCCGTAGTGAAGTAATGGAAGGAGATATGGCAACCTCCAATAGAATTCTTATAGAGTTCCAATAGAAATTCAATAGAAATAATTACAGAAAGGGCTAGGGTTTTCAATGGAATTTTGTTATGTGCGAGTAATTTTCTTCAGAGATTTCTGATTACCGTTGACCCAGCAGTATCCTCAGTTTTGCAGTAGGTATAGATCTGGGTCCGAATTTTCACGTCAATCATTGCTGTTTTTGCGCTTATATTACGGAATTCCATTGAGAAGTCAACATCGTTCACTGCTTAATCTGGGGTAAGATGAGTTTTTTAGAAACAGAATTGTTTCAGATTTTTGACATTGTTCCAGGTATTTCAATAAATTTTTTGTTGAATTGAATCGTCACAATTCCTATTTTACGGGTATAAATCTGTTCAGAAGATTTCACAGAGATGTAGCACTTCGATGTCGCGCTTCCAATGGGAAGTTTAATGTAGCAATGGGGGTGGGGTGATGAACTACCCCAGTGCATTCGTACAGGAAGATCCCTAGAGGGTTTAGTAGTTAATCCTTATCAGCCTCTGGGAAATCCTTCGTAATGAGTTCTTTTATAGAAAAGATGGGAGAAATTATGATATCTTCTTTAAAAATGGTAATAAAAATCTGCATTTTTTCAATTGTTTCTTGACCTATATCAGGAAACTCATTATTTTCCAATGAATTATTCCAGTAGAGCAATAGCAGTACATTGTTGCAAACAGTGTTAGCTAAAACATACTATTATATGTTTCTCGAGTCAGAGGTTTTTCTTTTTTACTTCAATATTTGTCTTTATGTTAATTTTTATGTTTAGATTTATCAATTCCCTGATTGCGATAGCGATGAGGACGAAGACTTCAAGCAACAGGACAAGGAACTCAAGGCCACGGTACCTTTTGCTGTTGTGGGTAGTTCCACAGTTCTTGAAGTCGCTGGGCGAAAAGTCAGAGGAAGGCAGTATCCCTGGGGAGTTGTTGAAGGTAAAGCCATTTTAATCATTTGAGTAAGCAAACTGTACCTTTCTGTATCGGAAAGTAATATCTGTATCCAGTATATCTGTTTTACTTTCGAGTAGAAGTATTGTAATCGTTCAACTTCTAATTTTCAATTTTTTCAGTTATATCAACTTATGAAGGTCTGAACAGTCTCCTAATCTTTACTGCTATTTATTTTCTTTAATTGCAGCTATTCTTGAATGCTATTAATCGACGTTGATTGAAATTTAAAAATTATTCTAATGCCACTTTGACTGCATTCGGAGATGAGGCCGATAGCAAATTCGTTATTTCGAGTATCGAAAACGAATATCGAATATCAAATCTTTACGAGAGATCCTTATGAAAACTGAAATTGAAATGGAAAGCATAAGAACCATTTTTTGTTGAAATTTTTTAAATGTGATTGAATCTGCAATGATTGAATTTATTATTATAATGATATAGAACGATACAATAGAATAAATCATGCGCAATATATCTATTTGGAAGTATATTCCTAATTCATTAGCAGAAAAGCTGTAATATGATAATTAAATAAAGTAATGTTCAACTTGTTCTGTCTTTCATAGTCGAAAATCCCAAACACAGTGATTTTGTCAAGCTGAGGACAATGCTGATATCGACTCACATGCAGGACCTTAAAGACGTGACTCAAGACGTTCATTACGAGAATTTCAGGGCCCAGTGCATCTCACAGATATCTCAGCAAGCCATCAGGGAAAGGAGGTATTTACACATGTAAATGATGAAGAATTTTTTTGAAAAAAAAACTCAGAAAGGAAACAGAAATTCGTTGGTATCTGTTGAATTATTCAGTTCATAAGAATAAGGAGGGATTCAACAATTATTTTTGGGTTTCAGTAAACTGAAGAGAGACTCCGGGCCGCATTTCGAGAACAGTATATCCGATACCGATCGACTTCTGCTGCAGAAGGATGAAGAGGTAAGTTGCAGATTATTTTCTTCCTTTGACCTTTGGAGTACGAAAGTTCAGTTTGAAGAGACGTACCTTAACGAGTCGTTCTTCTTGGAGCAATAATTTTTTTTATATATATTGTTGACAAATATCATAATACATATGCCCGAGTGACCCAAGAAGTTTTCAAAAGGGAATAATCTCTACGATACATTTAAAACTCTTTGAACTTATTGCTGTCGGTCCCATGTTTAATTAATTCAATAATTGAGATTGAGTATGGATCGAGATACGCGGCAGCGTATCGGCCAAGAAAAGTTTTGACTCCGATTGTACACAACATCAGGCCGATCGCTGCCGTGTATCTATACATGAAGCAACTACCTCCACTACCTCCGAATCATATCCATATCCATTAAATAAAATACAAACGTGACGAGCTACATGAAAAATACTCTTAGTTACATTATTATAAATTGGCCACAAGCTTCTCATTGATGTAACTATTTTTTTGTTCGAAGCAATATTTTTAAAAATACGCGCATAGCAATGGGTTCATATGCACATTCTCGCATTTCACATCAACTCCTATCATTTTTTTGTTACGGAGTTGGTAGCAGTGCAATATAACCACACGCACCAAGGAGGGAAGCCCGGGAATTTACAAATTGAATGTGGTGCATGAATGATGAATTCCACAGATATTTTTCAATCGAGTTCCGTGCACAAATGAATTCTCCAAGAAGCAAATTCAGTCGGAAAATCTTGAATAAATAATTAAAAGTTGGTGCAAATAACGAGTGTGGAATAGAACTATTTGTTTTACTTCGATTGTTAATTGGAAAGATGATTTATCGCGTGAAAAATAAATGAGCCGAATTGAATTGAAAATGAAAAAATTTACAGGATATAAAAACGATTCCTTGTTTATTTTGAAAAAAAAAATGAAATCTCCTTAAAAAAACAAAAGCAAATATTTTTTCCAAAAAACTGCGCCAAAAAAAAGTTTTGTTTGGTTCTTACTGGGAAGTAGAAATTTTTGAAAAATACAAAGACATTTAAAAAAATTCTTGATGAAATAAAAAATTAGTAGAAGGAGGACCAACATTCTTGGCGCAGAGTTTTTCAACTCATTGTCTAGTATCAATCTAATTCTCCATCTTCTGATCCGCGCCAAGGACGTTGGTCCTTCTTCTACTAATTTTTTATTTCATCAAGAATTTCTTAAAATCCTCATTCGATTTGAAACAATTTCTCTTATAGAAATCTGATTGTGCACTATTTTCGTTTATTCAACATTGCTGACTTGGCTTTCTTTTTCATTTCTTTGTATTTTTCAAAAATTTCTACTTCCCAGTAAGAAACAAACAAAACTTTTTCTTGGCGCACTTTTTTTGCGAAAACATTTGTTTTTGTTTTTTTAGGGAGATATAAATATATAGGAAACCAAATGGAAAAATCATAAATGCACAATTATAATCATTAAAGTAATCAGAATAAAAAGAAATGATGGTTAATCCATCATGATATGATTCATCCTGATATGGTCTGTTCGACAATATCACGTAAAAAAAAATTCCATAATGTCATCAAGCATTTTCTTTTAAAAATAGAAATGTTCTATACAAAGCATTATACCGGAGAAATCAATACACTTATCTTTCTATACAACTTATTCTATTGAGATATTTTGTTTGCAGGAATTACTTGGCACAAATCTGCTGAGTTTTTGTCACTGCATATTTTTGCTCATCTTAGTAAGGAAAATTCGGAAAAATTTAGATAGAAAACTATGACAGTAGTAGAAAGGAAATACGAAAACTAAATTAATAAATAAAGTAGTTAATGATGTTGATGATTTTCATGTTCTATGTTCTATGTTTTTGAGACCGTCCAACGTTTGGGTTTTACGGGCCGTTATCTTTTTAATTGGGACTTTTCTGTTATGAGAAGGTAGATAATATAGAAAAAAAGTCCCTCCTTATTGGGATTTTTGCTTCAATAACGGGACTCGATTGTGAAGATTATAAAATTAGAGTCACTTTTTGAGCTGTCACTGACTGGCAGCCATTTCTGCCAAATTTGATTTTCATTACTTTGTTCCTAATCAATAAGGTTTGTTAGCCCGAGTTATTGATGAAGTTCAATTAAATGATGATAATGACATTGTTATAATCAGTATTGAATATGCGTCGAAGGATATTATGAGTCCTAAAATAACGACGCCATTATAATACCAATCATCTTAAGTTCACTGTTAATTCGCATTTTCAAGCAGAACAAATCCTCCTCTTCATTCGACAAATCTCTCTAAAAAATGGCTTGAAATAAATAAAATGAATTTCAGATCCGAAGGATGCAAGATATTCTCGCACAAATGCAAGAAAAGCTGAAAGCGACTGGTCAGGTGTGTGGAGGTGGTCTCAGGGGCAGAGTTGGAAGTCTTGGCAATGATCTGGACTCCGTGGAGATCGACAAAAAACGCAACAGTATTATCGATGTGTAGGAAGAGAGAAAATCAGAGTGAAAATTGAGAACAAATGGATATTGCACCAAATGTCTGAATGCTGTTTAATCGGCTGAATTTAGAACTCCCATTCTTCATTTTCTGCCGATGTTTTTTCAATGGAGCAGAAATATCCCCAATATGAAGTTGAAGATTTAAATAAGTAATTTTTCAATCATAAATGTTCGAAAGGATATTATGAGTCCTAAAATAACGACGTCTAAAGATATTGTTGCGGATATCGTAAAAACCAAAGAATAAAAAGAAATGAAGACAGATTTCACAGAAATCAACAGACAGATTTGTTGATGTTTGGTTCTGTTGTTACTCGTCTATATTACATTATGCCACAACATGTATGAAAAAATCGTATAGAAATTTTCCATACGGACTGCGTATAGAATTTATATAGGATTTTCGTGTATGATATTCGGTTATTTCTACACAGATATTTTTTATACAAATTATTTCTATAGGATTTCTATAGGTTTGATCTTATACGACCCACTACCCCATGTATAGAAACATTTCGTATGGAGCTGCGACATTTCTCTACGTTTTTCTCTGGAGCGTTTAGACATCTTTCGTATTAAAACAAAAATTTATGTAAAAATTTATGTATTGAAATAATTCGTATAGAAATATCCGAATATCATATATGTAAATCGTATAGAATTTCTAAACGCAATCCGTATAGAAAATTTCTATACGATTTTTTTCATGATTGTTGATGTTTGAAGAATGGCCTAAGCGGTCCTCAGCAATTTGAAGGTAGTTGAATAAGCAACGAATGTCTCAAAGTCTAAATTTTCCCAACGTTTCGACTCCCAGGGAAGTCCTCATCAGGGGATTTTTATTTATTCTTCTAAACCAATTGAGAAAAATTTCTTTTTATACACAAAATTCAATATAGCAACGGAATCATTATAAAAAATAATACATACTGATCGTTAAAAATACGGATGTTGGCATCAATTTCTCATAAATAAAGTCGATTTACTCTCTTCTCTCATGTTAAGTGAGGTTACGAACACCTGTTGACAACAACCACAACACAATTGTAGTAGAACATACAGAGGCAAACCTAAGGTTATCGTGATGAAACATTCATATAATTTTACTATTTAATGTTCTAAGAAACCTGAACTCACGCTCATTCTGTCAGTCAATACTCTAGTCCCCCTCGAATTCTGGGAATGCAATTGTTGATGTTTACACGTGCCGTGTGACGCACTGGCCCGACGGTAATCGGATTTTTTCGAAGCCAGGTGATTGGAAGAGCCCATTGTCACCGTTGGATGGCGGGACAATGTTCATATTTGTGGCGACTCCGCCTCCGGTAGTCCCCCACTTCGACCTCGAGACAGCGCCTCGATCAACCTCAAGCCGCGACCGCTGCTCAACGTCGCCCACGGAAACAAGCCATTACTACAAGACCTCTATTCTAACGCTACACGTGTAGCGCTCGACATCAAGTCATTCCAAAGTCTATTTGTGTTACTAGTATTACATTATCACAATAAATATTACTCCTATTGCTAACTGTGGTGATTCAATTACACTGGGGAACCTTCCAATAAGTCTAAATTGGTGACCCCGACGTGATTCCTGGGGATTACGTTTTGCCCGAAGATAACCCCATCCAGTCACCCGTCACCGCAACAGTCGTTATAACCGGTCATGCCGCTCAGCCATTCACCGACTGCAAATACTGGGGAAATGACTGCTCAACAACTAGCAGAACAACAACAACAACAACAATTATTATTGCAATAACAACAAGAACAGCAACAGCAACAATTGTTGGCACAGCAACAATAGCAACAGCATCAACAGAATTTGTTGGCACAACAGCAACAGCAGCAACAAAATCAGCAAGTATTGCCTCCATTAGTTCCTCTTGGTATTGACGCACAAGCAACTGGTGTTATTGCTGCTGGTGCATCTGGCATCCAACAAAATGCCGTTCCACTGATGATGCCAGTCAACCACGCCCAGTCACTTGGATACAATGAAGCTCAAATCATGGCAGTCACCCAGTTCAAACTACCAGATTTTTGGTCTCATGATCCGAAACTTTGGTTCATCCCCATCGAAGCCCTGTTCACCACCAGAAACATCAGAAGTGACCAGACGAAGTATGGAGCTGTTGTTGCTGCCTTGGGCTCGGATGTTCTCAAGGAGATGTTCGACGTTCTCAGGAATCCACCGCCCACAGATACGTATATTAACCTCAAAAATATACTTCTCAAATGTTTCACTGACTCAGCTGATCGCCAGTTACATAAACTGTTGGCAGAGATGCAGCTTGGTACACAAAAGCCGAGCCAACTTCTCAGGCAAATGAAAACACTCGCTGGCAACAGAGCAAGCGAAGAACTCATTCGCAGCAGATGGCTGGCCCTGTTGCCTGATACTGTGTCCAAGACCCTCAAAGCAGTCTATAACAACTCCACTCTCGATCAGCTCGCTGAGGCAGCCGACAGCTGTATGGAAAATCACACCAGCTCCCAAGTCCTGTCAACCAGCTTCCAGTCCATGGCTCTCAACAACCAGCCAATGCTACCCAGTGCTCAGCAACCCATGACCTTCATTCCTCAGCCCATGGGAGCTGAAACGCAGGTCATGGCAGCCAGTCACGTGCCATATCAGAGGCAGAGCAACAGCAACATTGAGCTGAGACTGAGCGCAGTGGAGAAAACATTGGAAGTTCTGGTTGCATCAGTCAGTAGTCTATCAGCCAAGCTTGCAGGGGACCACGACAGAAGATCACGATCTCGATCTCGCACCCCAGGACCACCTGATCAGTGCTTCTACCATCGTAGATTCGGTGCCAAGGCTGTCAGATGCCTCAAGCCTTGCACCTGGGTGCCTAGCAATCAGGGAAACTAGTTGAGCTGTCGTCAGTCCAGGCGGTTGGCGACAGCGTTCAAAACATTCCACCGATCAAAGAGCAGCGTCTACATGTCTACGACAAATCTTCTCACACCAGATTTCTTGTCGACTCTGGCTCTGTCGTATCTGTTATACCACGAGCTCTTGTCAAGCAGAATCTGCAACCATCGGACTTCAAACTCTACGCTGCGAACTCCACCAGTATCACAACCTATGGACATCAACCAATCACACTTAACCTCGGTCTCCGTCGAGCATTTACCTGGCCTTTCATCGTTGCTGACGTTCAGTCCGCAATCATCGGGGCTGACTTCATTGTTCACTTCGGATTGATGATAGACCTCAAGAAACATCGTCTGATCGACCCTCTCACTTCATTATCAACAACTGGAGAACTTGTCGAAACCTCAGTGTTCGGGATATCTACTGTAGACCAACACGTGCTCCCTGACAGCTTCCCTGAGGGCAAGTACGCAGCACTTCTCCAGCAGTTCATCGATATCACTAAGCCTACTATCTCTGCCGCTTCACAAAACTCTGCAGACGTGGCGCACTACATCGTCACTCAAGGACCTCCAGTTGTGGAGCGATTTCGGAGATTATCTGGTGAGAAACTGAAAGCTGCAAAGGATGACATCAACTTTCTGCTAGAGCTTGGTGTCATTCGACCATCCAGCAGTCAATGGGCGAGTCCAATCCATATGGTACCTAAGAAACTTGAAGGCTGGCGTACCACTGGAGACTTCAGGCGACTCAACGCTCAGACAGTCCCTGATCGCTACCCAGTGCCCTACCCAGAGGATATCTTTCAACGCCTGCATGGTAAGAAAATATTTTCAACAATTGATCTTGTACGAGCATACCATCAAATCCCCATGGCTCCAGAGGACATCGAAAAGACTGCGATTACAACACCCTTCGGTCTCTTCNGTACCATCCTCAGTCAAACGGCTTGGTTGAGAGGTGGCACAGAACTCTCAAAGCAGCTCTTATGTGCAACTCACAAGCTCCATGGCCTGAAGTTCTCCCCACAGTACTCCTTGGTCTTCGCACTTGCTACAAGGAAGACCTAAACGCTTCACCTGCTGACCTCGTATTTGGGACAGGTTTACGCGTTCCAGGAGAGTTTTTCGTCTCGGAAGACATACCAGCTGATCCTCAAATCTTCGTGGAGAAATTCCGGGAGCACATCAGAAGCCTACGACCGACACCAACGGCCCACCACAACAAAGAGCGCGTCTTCATCCTAAAAAACCTGTACTCTTGTTCACATGTGTTTCTTCACATCGACGCAGTCAAATGACCCCTGGAACCACCGTACTCTGGACCTCATGAAGTCTTAGAACGCCTGGACGACTACACCTTCAAAATCAAGGTCGACGGAGACGAGAAGGTCGTCTCAGTGGAGAGACTCAAGCCAGCATACATTGCCAAAGAGGATCCTGTCAATCCTCAACAACCTCAGCAGGCTGAGGTACCTGAAAACATTGGACCCCAGCTACCGTCCTCAAGCATGGATNAGAGGATCCAGCAAGAGCAGCAAGACGACGAAGAACTCCAACAACTCATCGAAAACAACAACAGTTCGCTGAAACTTCAACGATTATCCATCGATGGCAACAACTCAATTTACTGTGACATTTCATCCGGCGTTGTGAGACCTTTCATTCCCAAAAATCTGCGACAAGTAGCCTTCGACACTGTTCATGGGCTGTCCCATCCCAGTGGCCGAGTAACAGTTCATATACTCAAACAGAAGTACATCTGGCCTGGCATCAAGAAGGACGCTCTGGAATGGGCTCGCAACTGCATCGCTTGTCAACGCTCAAAAATTCAACGTCACAATCGTCTAACCCCCAAGCACATCGACGTGCCAGACTCTCGCTTCAACCATATTCATCTTGATCTCATCGAGCTCCCAGTGGTCAACCGTCTCAGGTACTGCTTAACCATCATTGACAGATTTTCCAGGTGGCCTGTAGCCATTCCCCTGGACGATATGACAGCTGATACGGTCTGCACTGCCTTCTACACCCACTGGATCGCTCAATTCGGTACACCTCTCACCATAACTACAGATCAAGGCTCTCAATTCGAGTCTGCGCTCTTCAAGGCCTTATCTCGACTGATTGGTGCGCATCGCATTAGGACTACACCGTACCATCCTCAGTCAAACGGCTTGGTTGAGAGGTGGCACAGAACTCTCAAAGCAGCTCTTATGTGCAACTCACAAGCTCCATGGCCTGAAGTTCTCCCCACAGTACTCCTTGGGCTTCGCACTTGCTACAAGGAAGACCTAAACGCTTCACCTGCTGATCTCATATTTGGGACAGGTTTACGCGTTCCAGGAGAGTTTTTCGTCTTGGAAGACATACCAGCTGATCCTCAAATCTTCGTGGAGAAATTCCGGGAGCACATCAGAAGCCTACGACCGACACCAACGGCCCACCACAACAAAGAGCGCGTCTTCATCCTAAAAAACCTGTACTCTTGTTCACATGTGTTTCTTCACATCGACGCAGTCAAATGACCCCTGGAACCACCGTACTCTGGACCTCATGAAGTCTTAGAACGTCTGGACGACTACACCTTCAAAATCAAGGTC